AATACCTGGGTAGGCCTTTGCTTATTTGCTAACAATAGCTAATTTAAACAGCAATCAATAGCAAGTAACTAATCAAATCAAATGCCTTATAATTACCAACAGGAATTCAAACCTTGTGCAATCAGTAACCTTTTCCTACAGATGAATCTTACCTATAACAGTAGAAAAGAAAGCTCTTTGCACAACTCTTAGACAGTTGAAGCTTCTGTAAAACTCTCCAGAATATCTCCAACAACACACTTAGAAGCAACACTTAGATGAAGCAACCAAGCTATATTTAACCCTTTAACTTTCCAAGACACCATACAACCTGTACATGGGGGGGGTACTGTTTTACTCGGGAGACTTCGCTGAACACAGATATTAGTGTTTCAAAATGGTAACTTGTATTACAACAATGATATTTTTAGTAAAAGTGCATTTTTCACACATGAACAGCACTTTTACTGATGATATTATTATTGTAATACAAGTTACCATTTTGAAACACTAATATTTGTGTTCAGCGAATTCTCCTGAGTAAAACAGTACCCACCATGTACAGGTTTTATAGTGTTTTGGAAAGTTAGAGAGTCAAATATAAGGCTTGAATTTCATTTTTTTTCACATTAAAATTTGCCAGATTGGTTATGTTGCTTTTTGAGACCGTATGGTAGCCCAGGAATAAGAATTATCCCCATGATGACATACCATGTGCAAAAGTAGACAACCCAAGGTATTGCAAACAGGGTATGTCCAGTTATTTTTAGTAGCCACTTAGTTACAAACACTGGCCAAATATTTGTTTTTTGCATTTTTCACATAAAAACAAATATGAACACTAACTTTGGCCAGTGCTTGTGACTAAGTGGCTACTACAAAAGACTGGACATACCCCACTTGCAATACCTTGGGTAGTCTACTTTTGCAAATGGTATGCCATCATGGGGGTAAATCTCATTCCTGGGATACCACACGGTCTCAAAGGCAACATTACTAATCTGGCAAACTTCAATGTGAAAAAACTGAAAAATGGAATGTGCGATATTTGACCCTTTAACTATCCAAAACACTGTAAAAACTGTTAATGGGGGCTACTGTTGTACTCGTGAGACTTAGCTGAATCCAAATATGTGCTTTTTTTGCAGTAAAAGCTAACAGTATTATGACATTTCCAGCTAAAATGTGAGGCAGAACTACAATTTTTAAAAAAAATTCTCAACGTTTTTTTTATTTTATTCATAATAAATTATGTTTCATATATAAATATTTGATATGAAATGAAAGCCCTGTTTCTCCTGAACAAAATGATATATAATAAGTGTGGGTGCATATAATATGAAAGAGGTGAATTACGGTTCAATAGACATATAGCTCAAATTTCAGTTTTTGCTTACATTTTGTTTTGATCAGAACGTGTACTATTGACTCCGTCCTGAAGGGGTTAATAAAGGCAATTCTGCCGAAACGTTGGGGGCAATTTTGACTTTCTCCCTCTTTTCACTATTTCTGTTATTTTTTGTTTTATGGTATGTATTACTTGTTGGGTAGCTTGTTTAAGTTATGTATGTGACTCTATACCAGGTTTTCTTTGAATACATGAGATCGTGGTATACCTTTTATTTTTTTTCTGTACTGAGTATTGTTTTGATGCTATTGTTTATGTTTTTGAGTATGAATTTTGGGATACCTGATATATTGGACCCAACTAAAAAAGTTAAATATATATATATATATCTCTGTGGCTGTGCTCCTCATTTAGTACTATTTGTAATTAAAATACAAGAACAGAATAAATTTTTATGTCCTTTCCATGATCTATGATAGCAGGACTGTGTCTGTTCATGCCTCCACTAGAAAACCAGTGTGCCTCATGGACAGGGCTATTGTTAATAGTAAATGGGCCATACATCCATATGGGCTGGGATCCCAATGGGGGATATGGATGTAATGGGGGAATAGGTGCTGCTCTAAGGGAATAGTGTCTTTAGTGGGGAGATATGGGCTGCAGTGAGAAATAGGATTTTTTAAGGAGACTTAAATATTAAATTGGCCATCCATAGGTGCAGTAGTGTGGTGGATGGGGGCTGTAGTGATGGGATAGGGGCTGTAATAGAAGGACATTAGCTGCAATGGGGAAATAGGGGCTGTAACAGGGGATAGAGTCTATAGTGGGGGTAGAGGCTGTAGTGGGGGGACATGGGCTGTAATGGGCAGTAGAAGCTGTAATTGGGGGGATTGGGGCTGTAATCGGAGAATAGAGGTTGCAGTGAGGGAATAGAGACTTAAGTGGGGAGACAAGGGTTGCAGTGAGAATAGGATTTTGCTAGTTCAGGAGAAAGGTTGTCGTGTTGAGGAAAAGTGGGTAAAATATTTGAATTGGAGCTGTGACAGGGAAATATGGGCAGTAGTGAGTGAATGGAGCTGTAATGGGTGATAGGGGCTGTAATAAGGGGACAGGGCTGTAATGGGGGATAAAGGCTATAGTAGGGAGAAAGGGGCTGTAATCATGAGCTTTAGTTGGGGGATAAGGGCTGTAGTGGGTGAGGATGTGACTTTAATTGGCAGGATGTGGGCATAGTGGGGTTGTAAATTGGGGATAGGGGCTGTAATGGGGGAAAGGGGCGGTAATGAGGAGGATAGGGGCTGTAATGGGGAGAAAAGGGATGTAATCAGGAGGATAGGGGCTGTAATGGCAGGATTTTACTTCAGTAGAGAACCTCAGGATAATGATATTTGCAGTAGCAATTCAATGTGTGTAAAATGCAAAAACAAAAAACAGAGCAATAAGTTGGAAATAGTTTGTTGATAATATGGCACCAACAAAAGGCTTAAAATATTGAGTGTATTATTTCCTTGTGGTGTCTACTTTTGTAAATGGTGGACATTCATGTCTGACTTCTTAACATTGTCCCACAGTAGACAAGGGCCAAGGAAATTCATCCATGTAAGAGTTTTGAATGCTCAAAAGGACAGGTTCCAGATTTGACCCTGTAATATCACAAACACAAATCAAACATATTCATGGGGCTTATTGCTTTACTGGGCAGATGTAGCTGAATACAAATATTTGAGTACAGTAGCAAACACCAGGATTAAACAATATTATATGTGTGTGAACATAAACATAATTTTATAACATGACAGGAGGCTTCGTATTTGCTTAAGTCTCTCTTTACTAGAACTCCACAGCAGCACAAAAAAACAACCAATCAGAAAAAGTTAGGTACTATAAAACTCCTCTCCCCATGCATCATTTCCTCTTTCTTTGCTGCTCCGCATCAGTACAGGTCAGAGTACCACTGCCTACTGCTTATAGTTGGTGGCTTTGGGATTTTATTGCTTATATACTCAGTATTTTGTATTGTTCTTGTGAGATTTTATTGCTATATTTTCAGTATTTTAGATTGCCCTTGTGGGATTTTATTGCTATATATATTCAGCATGTTTATTGTCCGTGTGGGATTTAGTCTGATATTTTCAGTATTTCATATTGTCCTTGTGGGATTTTTCTTCCATATTCAGTATTTTATTTTACCCTTGTGGGATTTTTATGCTTATATATCGAATATTTTATTCAGAATGTTTTATTTTGCCCTTGTGGGATTAATTATTATTTATTCAGTATTGCCTTGGTCCTTGTGAGATTTTTCCTTACACATGCATTATTGTTATAGTACCTGTGGGACTTTATTTTTACTTGTACTTCAGACTATCACTGTTTAATTACCTGTATGGTTTGGATTTGTGGGGGGTCTTTGGGGTCCTTCTGTCTCATATTTTTCCTTGGACTGGTTCCCATTCCCTACTTTGTGTATACCCATTGTTATATATTTTTGGCGGTGTGTGGGTGTACCGCCCGGGGGCTTCAGGAGGCTGACTGCATCTACCTCCTTCTGATCCCCCGAGCTCCGGGACAGGGGAGTTCATCTCCGGCGGTCCCGTGTGTTTTTTCCGAGCGTGCACGAGTACCTAGCGGCCGGATCTTTTTTTCCACCTGGCCGATTTGCTGCAGCCGCCTCCACCCGCAGACCGCGGGTGTCCGACCAGGCGGGGGAGGATGCAACTGCTTGCGGCCCCTCCCCCGTCTGTACCTTACCCATTGGTGGTCTGTTTGAGGGGCCTTCCTCCCCTCTGTTAATCAAGGCCAGATTCAGATCACGGCCGGAGCGTTTAACAGCAGATGAGGGCCCCTCCACCCTGATCAGGGTTAATATATAGCCCAAGGTGACGTCATATATATATGTATATGTATTTATGCTGGGCTGGAGAATAGGCTGTAGGCAGTACACCTGTACTGCTCTGAGGGTCCTGCAGTTTGGATTTCTGTCTTTGGCCAAACATTAAAGGTCTGCCAGTTCCCTGTATAGTACTTTAGTACATTCAGCACTAGTAGCTGAAACATCTGTGATATTAGACTGGAGACATACTAGCAACTTAATCCAGAGGTATTAGGAAAAATACCGTTATAAACAGATTACTACCCTACTAGTGGGTTTTACATGTTGAAGCGACTTCAACCAAGTTTCCCTGTTTTCATTACACATATATATAGGGGACTCTACCCATGCAGATTGGCCTTATGGCTGTTGGAATGCTACACCCATGTACAACCGGCTCTGTCTATGCCCCTATCATGGGCCTACTGTACCCCATCGACTGGGCTGCTATACCTGTGCCCCATTGGTTGGGCTGCTATGCCTGTGCCCAATTGATCGGCCTGCTATGCCTGTGCCCCATTGAGCGGCCTGCTATGTCTGTGCCCCATTTGATTGGCCTGCTAGGCCTGTGCCTTTCTGACGGGCCTGCTCTACCAGTGCCCTTGTTGGCCTGATCTATCGGTGCCGAACACCTTTTGGCCGCAGGCCTGGGGGTATATCGCTGAGGAAAACCCAGTACCAACTATGGACATGGAGATGGGTGGGTGTCCAGGCAAACACCGCTGCCATACTATCCAAGAGGACACCAGTATATGACCACCAGAGTATGGTGGGAAGGGTGAAGGCTCTAAACCTCAAGCCATGAAGGGCAAGGATTTTTACGAAGACCCCGGGCACGAAACCATGGTTTACACCACCCGGCGACGGTACACCTTCAAGGAGAATTTTGCACAAGCAGGGACCAGTGCTCAGACGCCAACAGGGGAGCACAGTGTTTCCTTGCCTTTAGCAACTAATCCTCTAACTGCATTCCGGTATCCATCTTAGATATTGGTAGTTACTCCTGCGTCAGGTTAGCTCCTGGCCCTGTTCAGTTGGGCTTACTTGACTTGCTTTTTGGCCTGCTATTTACCTTCTATCCGAGGTACGTATTTTCCCTTATCTACATTTATAATTTCTTCTTTGTTTTCGTGACTTTTCTTTTTCCTACCGTTCGGGTAGTCTAGAGGCCTGACTTGACCTTCCCCAACCTCCCGGGCCCTCGTGGATTGCGGAGAATGTCTCCAGCTTTCCTCAGACTGCCAACGGTCATCCTGGATCCCGCGCATGCACACAGGATCCGGGCGGTCCATTGGTAGACTCCATCATTGTTTCCAAGGTTGCATTCTCTCATTGCCCATTTAAGATGGACACGGCCCAAGGTGGTATACTACTCTGTCTACCATCGGTCTGGTTTATTACCAGTTGATCCCACCTCTCAGGTGAGGGATTCAGAGAAAGGTTTTGTGGCCAGAGAGGGGTCCTCCTTGAGATCCAAGTCCTACACTATTGTTATTAGATGGTGAACCCCGCAGGGTCACCCTGGGTCTGATATGGACTCTAGTTAGGATTACTAGATGGTGCGGCCCTCCATCTCCTCGACCCGAGACTGATATTTTTATTTACACAAGTAGAGAGCGAACCCCTCTCTGAACCGAACACTGCTTCATTATTAGAGGAAGCGGCCCTCCCTCAACCTCAGCCCGAAACTGAGAGGGATACAGAGGACATACTTCGAGTGTGACACACTCTCATAGAAGGAAACGCACACAGAGGTAGACTCTAACTTTTGCTATTAACAGGTGCGGCCCACTCATGATATCAGCCGGATGCTAACACGGAGTTCGGTTACATTATTAGAGAGTGCAGCTCTCTCTCATACACTCAACACACTACAGTGTCATCTATTTGTTCATCACACAGGCTTGTACCTGCACAGGACAACAATGACTGCATAGAGGGACGTCCCTCCTGCTCTCAATCCAATATAGAGGTGCGTACCACATACCGAGTTCACCGCTGATGATTCAGCTCTGGTACAGGGGTATAGTACCTCACCAGTACGTAAGGGAGACAATGCTCCATAACAACTGGGCAAGGGGAGAGAGCCCCTCCTCTAGATCCACGGCCGTGCTACCAATTTTGCTTTAGAGGTGTACCTGATCATGCAGGGTATACAGGTTTAGACAGAATTCCTCTATTTCACCTCCTATATGATGCCACTGTATCCCACGCGAGAAAGACTCACAGAGTCTATTACTGGGAGTGATTTCCCGCTTGTTTGCACACGTCCCAGAGTCCTTATGGGACAGTATAGGGACGGTTTCAGCTGACCAGTTTGGGTTCAGCCCCCAGGATTGCTCCATTTTTTTGGTGACCCTATAACATTCTTTTGGATGTACTCCTGGAGACGGTACGGCTAAGGGTTGAGCCTCAGCTATTGCAAGATTGCAGGTGTCAGTATAATCAGACTAGCAATTGCACTCCGTTCAGGTTATGCAGACCATTGCGAACAAACTGCACAGACAGTTCTTTCCCATGTCAAGGTGACATGAGAGCCTGAGGCCTTCATAGAGCAAATGTGCACTGCCGTGCTCGGGTAAAAAGACTAGGGAAGGCCCACAGCCCGGTCTGAAGCTACGCCGTACGCATGGAAGGACCAGAGTCCTCGATTGACTTGTTTTCACTGGTTGCTAACAATCTTGGAATAAGATGATTGGACTACCTCCACTCCTCTGGGAACATTCTTGGAGGGCCCTCCTTCTGTACCCTAAATCCCTCACGGGAACCATATTGGGATTTCTCGCTAACCCACCTATTCAACTGTCAGCAAGGATACCTACTTGGACTCTATGGAGGAATGTCCCCTACTCCTACATGGACGTCACAAATCGGGACGCAACCTACCACTGGAGTACTTCTCAGGATGGGTAGAAGGCTCGGATATGGCTGCCGACGTTCTCAAACCGGACAACACCTGCTTCGGACGATTGAAGCTAGATTTGTGTTTCGTTATATCTGCGCTCTGGAAGTCCTGTTGTGAGTGAAGGGACTTTACGTCTTGCTTACGTATCAGAGAACACTATGAGTCCGCTGGACTCCAGGCTAAAGGGAGGTATTCCTATATAGGGATGCTTTGACTTCATTTATCAAATTCAGTTTCCTGGGTTCCTTGGCCTAGGACCTACTCTTGGAGATCGTACCCGGACAGTCAGGGGTGCAGGGACCTAGGGACTCATAATATTATACCCTATTATACGTATTTTGACAGGTCAGGCATGGATCAGGATCGTATCGGATTATTTTGCTCTCTCACTACAGTGAGGAAAGAGGAAATGATGCATGGGTAGAGGAGTTTTATAGTACCTAACTTTTTTCTGATTGGTTGTTTTTTCTATGCTGCTGTGGCGTTCTAGTAAAGAGAGACTTAAGCAAATACGAAGCCTCCTGTCATTAATACAATTAAGATTAGAGGTACACTAAAGCTAGCATAATGTACAATTATTGTTATTTAGTTTGGCAGAGATTGTGGAGTAAAAGAAAGCAAACAAAGTAGCAAAATGTCCCTAGATAAATACCCTTTGGTGTTTTCTAATGCATATATACAAACCGCAATGCATGCCAACTTTATTTTCCTCAAAGTGCCAACACGACAATTAAACCTGAATACTGAGGTTTGAAGTTTAGAAACAAACAACTCGTACAGTTGTCCAAACTAGTTAACAACTTTTGTTTTAAAAGAAGAACACAACAACAGAGAGTTCAATTATACAAATTCTAAATAATGATATAAATAGATAAACTTAAGCTTATATTTATTAGTATCTCCAACAAATGCAATACATACACACAGACTGCTGAACACATTCACACACCGACTGCTTAATACATACACACTGTGTGTGGGGGGTAGGGATGCTGTGTGTTTGTGGGGTGCTGATTGGGGGGGTAAGGGTACTGTGTGACAGGGGGTAAGGGAGCTGGAGGGTAGGGGTGCTGTGTGGGAGGGGGTAGGCATGCTGTGTGTGTGTGGGGGGGTAGGGGTGCTCTGTGTGTGTGTGGGGTAGGGGTGCTGTAAAAAGTGACTTGCAGGTGTGCTGGGTGTGTGGGGGGTAGGGTGCTGTGTGTGGGGTAGGGGTGCTGTGTGTGTGTGGGCAGGGGTGCTGTGTGTGGGGGTAGGGGTGCTGTGTGTGTGGCGGTAGGGACGCTGTGTGTGGGGGGAGCTGTGTGTGAGGGGGTAGAGCCGTGTGTGGGGCTGCAGGGCAGTGGGGGGTGGGATGCTGTGTGGGAGGGTAGGGGTGCTGTGTGGGAAGGTAGGGTGCTGAGTGTGGGGGTAGGGGTGCTGTGTGTGTGGGGTAGGGACCCGTGTGTGGGGAGGGGTGCTGTGGGGGTAGGGGTGCTGTGTGTGCGGGGCTAGGGGTGCTGTGTGTGGTGGGGGTAGTGTTGAAGATACATAAAAAAATTAATTAAAAAAAATATATATATTAAATCTGTATCCCCCTCTCCCTTCTTCTTACCTTTGGTGAAGGAGGGGGGGGGGGCACAGCCAGCCCTGGTGGTCCGGTGATGGTAAGTATATGTCTGCAAAGCAGCTCTCCTGTCCTCCCGCGCGATGCTGTGTGGAGGGTTGCCATGGTAATGCTCGGCAACGCTCCACACAGATTGCTTGCAGGAGGACAGGAGAGCTGCTTCCTAGATCCTTCCCCCTGCTTCCGGGTCCTCCCAACACGAAAGCAGAATAGGCGCCTGCCATTTTGCCATTGCTGCAGATAGCCAGCGGCCCCCTCCCCCAGCGACCTATGGCTGCATGCCCACAGAGAGGGCCCAGCGTGCCACCTGTGGCACGTGTGCCATAGGTTCGCCATCACTGTGCTAGAGGGAGTAAGGTTAAGTGACACAAAAGGTATGGGAAGTAGATTGGTAGAATATATTCAATGAAGACTTAGTGTATGCTTATGTGAACAAGTGAGTTTTTAATGATTTTTTGAAAGAGTGGAGACTAGGTGAGCATCTAACAGAAAAGGGAAGGGAGTTCCACAGGAACGGTGCAGATCTAGAGAAGTCTTGAAGGCGAGCATCAGAGGTGGGAGCACGAACAGAGGATAGACGCAGGTCTTTGGCAGAGCATAGACATTTTTATGTATTAGGGAGAAAAGGTGGGAGTGGCATTATGTGGAGATTTGAAAGCAAGAACCAGAATTTTATATTGAGCCCTATATCTTACGGGAAGCCAATGCAGGGACTGACAGAGGGGTTAGGTGTGGGAGTTGAGGGCAGACAGGAGAATGAGTCTCACCGCCACATTTATTATAGACTGCAGTGGGGCAAGTTGGAAACATGTAAGACCACTGAGAAGCAGATTGCAGTAGTCAAGGCGAGAGAGGACAGTGGCATGGACATTAGCCGCATCTGGCGTTAAGCAGGAAGCTGCAGGATTTGGCGATAGACTGGACATGAGGGGTGAAGGAGAGGTCAGAGTCAGAGAAAACACCTAGGCAGCGAGTGTGAAGAAATTACCCTGTATTTAGGTTATCTAACCTTTTCTCGTTTGACAGTTGAAATTACCGAAACACAGACCACCCCCCTGGCTCGTTAACCACAAAGAGATCCAGGAATTAGGGCTCTCCTTGTGTGGCCGCGTTCGTATAGTCGAATGCCACATGCAGGAGAAAATGGCGGTTCACATGAAAGGAGGCAGCGCGACTTGGTCGTCGAGTGTCTGGAAACAAAATTGGACACGAAACATCCCGAACACCGGTCAAACCATACAAAAGCCTGCTTCCTTTTCCTGACCAGCTAGGAGAGCGCTGTTCGGTAGTTTTGTTCCCACGAAGGGGAACAAACGCTACTATGAACCAGTGGGTACTGTTTGTAAATTTATTTGGCTTCAAGATGTTCCGAAATAGACCGACCACACAGCCTGAACGCATGGAACGGTTTCTTGGCAGGAGCCTCGTGTGCGGCCGGTCAAATTGGGACCTCTATGAAACTCCCGAACCCCTGATCTG